TTCTTCTTCTTCTTCTTCTTCTCTCTCTCTCTCTCTCTCTCTCTCCCTCCCTCCTTCCCTCCCTCCCTGCTTTCTTTTTCCCTCCCACTTATGAGTGAGGATAGAGAACCCAGAAATCAACCCAGGTACTTGCAGCCAACTCATCTTTGATGGAGGTGCAAAGAACATAAGTTGGAGAAAGCACTTCTTCAGTAAATGGTGCTTGGAAAGCTGCATATCCATGTGTAGAAGAATGAAGCTAGACCAATACCTCTTGCTGTATACCAAAGTCAACTCAAAATGGATTAAAGACTTAAGTATAAGACCTGAAAGTATAAAACTCCTGAAGAAAGCATAGAGGAAACACTTCAGGATGTAGGACTGGGCAAAGTCTTTTTGAATAAGACCCCAAAAGCACAAGCAACAAAAGAAAAAATAAACAAATGGGATTATATTAAACTAAAAAGCTTCTGCACAGCAAAGGAAACAGTTAACAATGAAAAGACAACCTACAGAATGGGACAAAATATTTAAGTTCCTTATGTTGTTTAGATATTAGCCCCTTGTCTAATGTGTGGTTGGCAAACACTTTCTCTCATTCTGTGGGTTGTCTCCACTTTGTTGACAGTGTCCCTTGCTGTGAAGAATCTTTTTAGTTTGATGAAGTCCCATTTATATATTTTTGCTTTAGTTGTCTGTGCCTTTGTAACTTGCTTGAAAAAGTGCTGCCTACTCCCATTTCATGTAGCATTTTCCCTGTGTTTTCCTCTCGTAGATGCATGGTTTTGGGTCTTAAATTTAGGTCTTTGGTCCATTTTGAATTGATTTTTGTGTACGGTGAGAGAGGGATCTAGTTTCAGCCTTCTGCATGTGGATGTCCAGTTTTTCCAGCACCATTTGTTGAAGAGGCTGTCCTTTCTCCATTGTGTATTTTTGGCATCTTTGTCAAAAATCAGTTGGATGTAAGTGCATGGATTTATTTCAGGGCTTTGTATTCATTCCATTGGTCAGTTTGTCTATTTTAATACCACTACCATGCCATTTTAGTTACTATAGCTTTATAGTATATTTTGAAGCTGGAAGTATGATGCTTTCAACTTTGTACTTTTTGTTTAAGATTACTTTATCTATATGGGGTCTTTTCACAGTCCCATACAAATTTTAAGATCATTTTTTCTATTTCTGTGATGAATGTCATTGGTATTTTGATAGAGATTGCACTGAATGTGTAGACTGCTTTGGGTAATATGGACATTTTCATGATGTTAATTTTTCTGACCTATGGACATGGGATATATTTCCATTTGTGTACTCCAGTTTTTTTCACCAATGTTTTGTAGTTTTCATTGTAGAGGTCTTTTACCTCCTTGGTTAAATTTACTCTGAGATATTTCATTTTTTTGGTAGCTATTATGAATGGGATTACTTTTCTGATTTCTTCAGCTCTTTTGTTGTTAATGTATGGGAAGGCTATTGATTTTTGTGTGTTGATTTAGTATCCTGCCACTTTACTGAATTCATTTGTTCTAGTAATTTTTTGATGGAGTCTTTATGGTTTTCTTTGTATAGGATCATATCATCTGCAAATACGGTTAGTTTGACTTCCTCCTTCCTTGTTTGGATGACCTTTACTGCTTTCTTTTGCCTTATTGCAAAGGCTAGAACTTCCAGTACTGTGTTGAATAAGAATGGGAAAAGTGGGCACCCTTTCCTTGTTCCAGATCTTAGAGGAAAAGCCTTCAATTTTTGTCCATTCAGTATGACATTAGCTATGGGTTTGTCATATATGGACTCTATTGTGTCAAGGTACATTCCTTCTATACCTAATTGCTTCAGTATTTTTATCATGAAGGAATGGTGGATTTTATCAAATGCTTTTTCTGTGCCTGTTGAAACGATCACCTTTTTTCCCCCCTTCATTCTGTTGTTGTGATGTTTCATGTTTATATATTTGTGTATGTTGAGCCATCCTTGCATCCTTGAGATAAATCTCACTCGATCATTGTGTATGACCTTTTTAACAAGTTGCTGGGTTCAGTTTGCTAGTATTTTGTTGAGGATATTCATGTCTGTGTTCATTAGCGATATAGGTCTGTAGTTTTCTTTTTCTGTTGTGTCTTTTCTGGTTTTGGTATGATGCTGTTGCTGGCTTCATAGAATGAGTTTGGAAGTATTCCCTCCTTTTCAATTTTTTGAGAATTGGTGTTCTTTAAATGTTTAGTAGAATTTGGCAGTGAAACCATCTGGTTTGGGGGTTTTCATTGTTGGAAGATTTTTTATTACTTCAGTCTCATTACTCATTATTGGTCTGTTTAGTTTTTCTAGTTCTTCATGATTTAACTTTGGTAAGTTGTATGTATCCAGGTACTTATCCATTTCTTCTAGGTTTTTCAGTTGTTTGCATGTAGTTCTTAGTAGTCTCTTATATCCTTTGTATTTCTTTGGTATCACTAGGAATGTCCCATTTTCATTTCTAATTTTATATATTTGAGTCTTGTCTCTTTTTTTCTTTATCAATCTAGCTAAAGGTTTATTGATTTTGTTT